TCCTTGGCTTGGCTTCCTCTTGAGTAGAAGGAGGGAAACATAAGACTGAGAGCTAACTGGAAGAGAGGTCTGGCACCTTCTCGACCTTACATACACTACACTACTTCTCTTATACTAAAAAGAAGAATTCACTTTGTTTGTCGACAGTCCTCGTGGGACAACGGGAGTTCTGGGAAGGGGCTTGATGACGCGAGGTGCTTTGGTCCCACGACGCCAGGACATCGGCGTTCTGAGACCACCTTATAGGACCACCCTAACGGGCTCGGTCAGGGGCACGCGCGTCGTCGCGTCCAACGGGTTTCATCCTGAGTGGACGGCCGGTCGAGAGCGTAAACTACACACGGCCTCGGGTTCATCTCGCCGGGAGGCACGGCTTCTGGAATGACCCCTCTGCTCCCGGGTACGGGACACCACGCATGCGGCGAACATAGCAATCGTGAGGCAAGTTGCCAGCGATCCTTGCGTTTATTCCGGGGAACCAATCGGTACCACTGCTAATCCATTCCACTTCTTTTGATCACTTAAGGGCCGCGCTCCTCCCCAATATCAGGTTCACAGACATTGTCAGGACACTTTGACACAGGCAAACTTCACCGCGACGAGCAACGACTTCACCGCACATACCAATGCACAACCCACGGCACAGGCAAACACTTCGACTGCAGGCCGAGAAACATCAGCATGCAAAGGTACTTTTGTCGTACTTACTTACTAAACAACGGTCTACGCTAGTGTGTTGCGCTCTGCTATCGCTCGAACGCTGCAAACCTGTAATCTTCGAGTTGATAGTGAGGTCACACGGCTCTTCTTCTTTTCCGCGGGCTTAAAATTTTTGGCGAGATATTCTCCCACACACCACACAAAAAAATCCATTTTCAGCGATTTTTGCGCTTGTGTGGGTGTAGACATATTTGGTGTTACCTTCAAAGCAGATTTCATGTCCTTTAGTCGGCCCTGAAGAGCATTTGTGATAGTACTAGGTTGGGATAATACGACCTATACACTGTATGAATACGATCGCATTTGCTGTTCATACCCGAATTTGACTTAGCCACTTCGCGCAGCTCTTGGAAATTCTCGCACTATTGCTGTCGAAAATAACGGTATGGTGGAGCCGTCGGGCACGTTGGCGCCGATATCGATTGGCCAAGGCTGCCTATTGCGCTACACTGGGACAGCTACCAATTGGTGTGCTGACCTTTGATTTTCATGGCAATTAAATTGTCACGAATCCTGCGTACAACTAATGCTCGTTGCTTGTTGATCTGGGACTGATGGTGGCAGCATCTCTAATGAGCTCAGGCGTTCAGCAGCAGGCGTTTGTTCAGGTGATTGGAACATCTTGGGGTTATCATCAGTGGACTTCTGTGTGTTTGCAACGGCTTCACCCATCCTAGATACAATACGACAGGAGTTAGGTCCCTGGTAAGTATCCCGTAGAGATGCAGAGTAGGGCGAGCGATAGCCATAATTTGTTTTGTCATCTTGAGTTCCATCTTCAGCTTTGCTGCGATGGCTTGCTGTTCTCCAATTTGGTAGCCGACGCAGTTGGAGGCCTGGTGAAACTACCTACCGCATCTTACGACGACTAAGGCAACACGCTAATGCGGAAAAATTTAGTCCCCTGTAGCGGGACTAAATTTTTCTTAACAGGCGATGCCGTTACGCATATGCCCGCGCCGTGGGTACTAAAAAAGTAGTTTTATCCCCACGCAACGTCTGCACACAAACCCCGATGTGCTGGTGTGTAATACCTAACGAAGGTAAGCACCAATTTATATTCTGAACGTGTCCGCTGTAGCTTAGCACCAGCACTACAACCACGGTTACTTGCGCGGTTTCGAGCTTTTAAGCTGTTTTCTCGGCAGGATTCTGCACATGCACCGATAGTGGATCTGCTCCTGTCCGCAATTCATTTCCCGCGATCAATTGTTCTTGTTTCTTTTGATGCTTTGGTGGTAACCATTACGATCTCGAGAGCGCGCGATACGCGTAAGGCTCGTGAACCGGATGCTGCAGCCCTCGCGATCTCTATTCGGTGGTGCGAGGAGTGTGATAGACGATTAACAATCATGCTACTAGTAGTAAGGTTAGAAGAGGTGGGCAGCAGCGCCGCAGGGAGCTTGGCCGCCATTAGGAGCAATACATGCAACAACCCCTGCGTGGTAATCCAATATTTTCGTATTACGTAGTGCAATATGTAGCAAGCGTCAATTAAATGCACATGTATTGCATTATTAATTCTTAAGCACTCCGGCTCGCTGCCTCTTGGGCACCGAACTGCTTCCACCTACTGTACACCGCCTTCGGTGCACCGCCTTGCCACCATCATGCCTTTATCCTGCCACCGCGCCCTGGCGCCGCCCTTCCACCGCCCTGTCTGCCGCCCTTCCACCGCCACCGCCCTGCCGCACTGTCATCGCTCTGACGCCGAACTGCCATCGACCTGCCGCCGCACTGCCACCGCACTGGGACCGCCCTGCCACCGCCACCGCCCTGCCGCACTGCCATCGATCGGCCGCCGCCCTGCCACCGCCACCGCACTGCCACCGCCACCGCACTGCCATCGCTCTGCCGCCGAACTGCCATCGACCTGCCGCCGCACTGCCACCGCACTGAGACCGCCCTGCCACCGCCACCGCCCTGCCGCACTGCCATCGCTCTCCCGCCGAACTGCCATCGATCTTTCGCCGCACTGCCACCGCCACCGCACTGCCATCGCTCTGCCGCCGAACTGCCATCGACCTGCCGCCGCATTGCCACCGCCACCGCCCTGCCGCCTTGCCGCACCGCCACCACACTGAGACCGCCCTGCCACCGCCACCGCCCTGCCGCACTGTCATCGCTCTGCCACCGCACTGATACCGCCCTGCCACCGCCACCGCCCTGCCGCCCTGCCATCGCTCTGCCACCACACTGAGACCGCCCTGCCACCGCCACCGCCCTGCCGCACTGCCATCGCTCTGCCGCCGAGCTGCCATCGATCTGCCGCCACACTGCCACCGCCACCGCACTTCCATCGCTCTGCCGCCGAACTGCCATCGACCTGCCGCCGCATTGCCACCGCCACCTCCCTGCCACCTCCTTGCCGCACTGCCACCGCACTGAGACCGACCTGCCGCGCTGCCACCGCACTGAGACCGCCCTGCCACCGCCACCGCCTTGCCGCACTGCCACCGCACTGAGACCGCCCTGCCACCGCCACCGCCTTGCCGCACTGCCACCGCACTGAGACCGCCCTGCCACCGCCACCGCACTGGCGCACTGGCATCGGCTCTCCCCGCCCGAACTGCCTTCGATCTTTCGCCGCATGGCTCCGGCCACGTACTGCCATCGCTCCGCCCGCCAAACTGTCATCGACTTGCCCGCCGCATTGGCCCCGCCCACCGCCCCTGCCGCTTTGCCGCAACCCGCCACAACACTGAAAACCGCCCCTGGGCATCGGCCACCCGCCCCCTGCCC